GGCGGAAAAATTGGGGGGCTTCCACGGGATCACTACTAGCAACTGAAAGAACAAAATTAGGATGAACCCACATAAATTAAGGCTGAAAGGAGGAGTTTATGGCTGATTTTACCAGGAAAACCAGCAGCAGTCGGCGGCAAAAGGGGGAGGAAGCAGAGCAGATCCGGCGGCTTCTCTGCAAAAGAGAGAAGTTCTAAGTCCTAGGCTTGTTCTTGGGCAAGAGGAGAACAAGAATCATCAAGTTCTCTTACCAATTTTGCAGGTGGGGACGCTGGAAAATGGCTGGGTTCACTTCGGCTGCAGCAGGGAGAAAAACAGAGCAAACGCGAAATGGTTGGAAAGAAAGAAAGAAAGAAGAAAAAGAAAAAGGAAATGAGTCAGCCGGCCTTATCCAATAAGAGTTTTAACCCCCTTGAAGTTTGAAAAATTGACAGTTAGGTCCATTAATAATGTTTTCTCACTATTAAGTCCCTAACTCAACTTATATGCTCTAGGAAATTTTGGGGTATTACACCAAAACTTAGGTTCTTCAGGGAACCCAAGAACCCAGAAACTAGGTTTTTCAAGAAACCTTGCGTAACCTAGGTTCTGGATTTGTCGAGAAACCTAGGAACCCAGAACCTAGGTTCTTCAGGGAACCCAGGAACCCAAAACTGAGTTCCTCAAGGAATTGGGTTCCTTAAGAAACCTAGCACCAGGTTCGGTTCTACAACCTAGCACCAAGTTGGGTTCCTCGCGGAACCTTGCACCGGGTTCTGTGAGGAACCAGGATGATCAAGAGGAAAACCCAACATCGGGTTTTATGAGGAACCAAGATGATGAAAAAGAAGAGGATGGTGAAGAAGATAAATGGTGAGATGATGATGTCAAGGATTAGGTTAAGGATGAGGAGAAAGAAGAAGATGACGAAATGAAAGTTAATTAACTTAATTATGTTTAAATTCATTTAATTTATAAATTCATTTTTATTTAAATAAAAAAATAACACATGGAAAAAAAATGCCATCTCATCACTTTTAGCATGGTATGCTTTCCACGTAATTATTATTTTTTTAAGAATATGATTTTGTGGCATTTTAACGTGCCACCTGTCCACTTAACTGACGGAAGGTTCATTTTGGTACCGAAAATAAAAGTTTAAGGATAATTTTGATACTTTTTAAAGTTAATGGAAAATTTTGATGCCAAAATGAAAAGTTGAGGGACCAAAATGGTACTATAACCATTATTTTAAGATTTCTTTTTTTTTTTTT